CAGTTAGCTGCTGCACTGGGCAGAGTCCCTGGAAGAGGAGAGGCTCTGGCCCCACCTCTTCCCTTCCGGCTCTGACACTGCCCCTTCCTCTCTCCGCCCCTGGCTGGCTGCTGGGGGCACCTGATCCTACTGGAGGATCACTTGACCTTTTGTGCCTCTCCCACGAGTCGCCATTGCCTGGTTAGTGAAAACAGGACCTAACTACTAATGGTTCTATTAGGTGAACTTCTCTTTGGTTTCTCAGTGAACAGTTAAGTCCAAAATTGGTGCTTTCATGGTCACCAGAAACATTCTGCTCTCACTATGGATGAGGAGACCTAATTTGTGTAGCGGAAAAAAGCTACCTTCAAAAAATAGTTAATAGTATTGGTCTATTTTACCAAAAATTCAGTAGGTTACTTAGTATGACTTCTAAAAGAAGTTGAAATGTTTTTAGATAAATATAAACATTTGAAATATATAGGAGTAAGTCCAATATCTGTACAAGGTAACAATGTGCTAAAAGCCCCAGCTCCCATTGAAATGAATAAGGGTTGAAGGAGCTCAGTACCTCCCAGGATTTAGGCCTATCCAAATGTGGCTCTTCAAAAAATGTTGAGTCACTGGAGTAAATCAATGTATTGTAACACTGATTTACCTTAATCTCTTCCTGGCAAGAATCAGATTTGCCTCACAGTACATATTGGGCCAAGTTGTACTCTCAGCTGAATTAGACTGGTGTCAGTGCAGTTACTCCAGTTTAACTCAGAAGAGAATATAACCTGTAAACTTCGATCGTGGGAAAAACTAGAGCAAGGAGGCGAGAAGTAGAAATACAGAGGAGAACAAGCCTATGGCTTACTTCAGGCTGATGTGGAATTTCTGCAAAGTGTCTTGTGCTGCTATACTCAGTAAGTATTTTCAGAGCTGGAACCCTGATTTCTTGTAACCCGTTAGAGGGCATATTACGCAGCTTTACAGCTAAGTACAATATACTTGTTACTTAGCTGCAGGGTAAAACTTGTTCAGATACTTTGATATAACAAGTTGCTGCTGTTGCTTCACCTTCATATAATGCAGCCATTGTGGATTTCACATCAAGATGGCGATGACAGTGAATAAATTCAATCCAGTTATCTACTTGCTACCATCTTCTGTGCCAAGAATTTAATATGCTTCAGTGCATGAAGGAACTTTACAACCAGCTCCCTGAACATATATTCTAGCTGTGCTATCCATGTCACTACAGTTAAAATAGATCAGTAGTTCCATTATAACTTCATATTAGGGATTTATAACTGCCATAAACATATGCAGGGCTAAAACTTTTGCAGACAGGTCTTGGGGCCAATTTTCCTATTACAGAACACAACCCCAAATGTACAGGACTATTAACCACTTGGATGCTATTTTGTAGTACTATAGCAACTTGAGTTTTCTAAAATGCATTTTATAAACCTGTAGCCAAGTGTACCTTAAGCTATTTTGGTACTGAGATTTATTTTTTGAAGTACAAGGTTTGATCCAGAGCCCACTGACGTCAATGGAAAGACTGCCATTGACTTCAGTAGAGTTTGGATCAGGCCTATAGCCATAAAGGTCCTGAAATAGAGCCAACTAAACTCACTGGAAATGTTTTCATTGACTTCAGTGGAGTTTGGTGTAGTCCCTATGTTAAGATTTGCAAGGTGTATATACAGTACATAAAGTATATACAGTAGCTTTGGAACTAAAACCCTGGATCCATAACACTCCTGATGGGGGAGCTTTGAAATCCAGATCTGAGTCTGAACCTACCTACATTTTGGGATATTTGGATACACTGGCCAAATTTTGCTCCAATTTACATATATGCAAATCGGAAGTATCACCACTGAAGGCAATTAATTGAAACCAATGTAACTGAGAGAAGAATATGTGTCAGTGTTTTTACTTGGCCAGTTATTAGAATTGGCTTGGGTTGTGCCCTCTGTGTGAACCTAAGCCAGAGATTAATTTCAAGCTTTCGTGGTTCAGCATGGATTGGGGCCCTCTCTTGTTAACCTTTCTTAATACACACAATTATATCGACATCCTGCTGTTTCTTGCTATGAACTCATATGAGACAACAAGGTCATTCTGCCATTAGCTCCCAGTACATATGTGCACATACCAATGAAAATGGACCTCTAACTATCCATTTTAAAAATGTGGAAGTCAATCTGGTCCATCCAGTACATGTGTTTTAGGACTTTCTAGAACCTTCCCATAGAAATCAAGTACAAACAAGGCTCTGTGTTAAAATGGTCCATAATAAATTGACAAAAGCCAGGAAGGTGCTTAGTTTAGTGCTGTAAATTTGCAGAGTACTGTAAACTGGAAAGCTGAGCCAAAGAAATAAGTTGTCTTCATCAGAGGGCATGCATTGCGATGGCCCAAGCTGGCATAGTACAGAACAATACAATACAGAGACTGAAGAATGGGAAAGTTTAACAGAGTCCCTTGGAGTATCACAGGGCCTCATTAACGTTTACGAATTTATCTTCAACACCCTTGTGAAATACAGAAATATTACTCCCTCTCTTACAGAAGAAAGAACTGAGGCACAAAGATGAAGCAAGTTGCTCAAAGTCACACACAGAGTGGCAGAGCTCAGAACTGAAATCAGCTATCCCAAGTTAAAGCATTAGACTTAGATTGCAAGACCATCACTCTTTCTGTCTTAGCTTAGAAGTTTCTGGCTTTTGTCAGTTTGTCACAGCTTACATTCAATAACAACAACAACAACAACAACAAAAAACATTATGCAAAATACACACTATTGTAAGTAGTTTCTATGTCCTTGTCTTAAAACTTCAGTTGTGGTTGTCTGGCTATTTTAGAGAGGAGCTCAAGTTGCAGAGCTTGATTCCCCAGTAGCATAGGCTATTCATATCTGGGATTTTGGTTCCATCCATGAGAGAGAGAGAGAAGATCCAGCTGTCTAGTTCCATCTGAATCTGGACTTTAGGGTCAAGCTCATCTCTAGTGATTTTACTTGCTACACGGGGAAACTTCCTCCAAAAAGCAAGGAAGACAATGAATGGAAGTTATAAGCACAGAAGAGACTCAGGGCTTGGCTACACTTGCGAGTTACAGCGCAATAAAGGAGCCCCGGGCACCCTAGCTCACTCCCCGTCCACATTGGCAAGCCACGTAGAGCGCTCTGACTCCGCGGCTACAGCGCTGCTGGTACTGCACCTCGGCGAGAGGAATAATGTTTGCTGCGCCTTGGCTACAATGCCCGGGCGTCAGTGTGAACAAGGTGTTGCCTTACTGCGCTCTGATCGGCCTCCGGAAATGTCCCATAATCCCCTTAAGTCAAGTGGCCACTCTTGTCACTGTTTTGACTCACTGTAGGAATGCGGAAATGCCCTTTCAAAGCTCCGTTTCTGACAGCCCGCATGCAAGCCGTTACTGTGGAATGCTGTGTGAGAGCGAGAGAGGCGGGGGGGAGGAGAGGGTCTGCTGCTGTCTGAACTTACAAGACAACATGCTGACATGCTCTCAGCCCCCCCAAACCCCACTCTCTCTCCCCCCACATACACACAACACACTCCCTGTCACACTCCACCCCACCTCTCCCATTTGAAAAGCACGTTGCAGTCACTTGCATGCTGGAATAGTTGCCCATAATGCAACATTCCCAATGCCGCTGCAAGTGCCGCAAATGTGGCCACCCGCCAGTGCGCTTGCAGCTGTCAGTGTGGACAGACTGCAGCGCTTTCCCTACTGCACTCTCCGAAGGCTGGTTTAACTCAAAGCGCTCTACACCTGCAAGTGTAGCCATGCCCTCAGTGAAGAACAATTGTTAATGTTAAATACAAACATCAGTGCAAACCACACAGAGGGCTTTTTTATTTGTTAGTATTTTCATATTTTCTCTAAAGTGGTCATAACGCTGAAATTTTAAAGGCAGGCATAGTCACAACCTTTGGCCAAAAATGTAATCAAATTTAAAGATGTAAATTCACATATGGAATCTGCATTTGGTGGAGTTTCCATTGGTCCGACATATAAGCATGCAGACTGCTTTGTCTCTGTGTAGGATCAATGTCCGTTAAAGTCAACAGATGCTTCCTTCTTTTTTACAATATTTTTTTCAGCACTGTGCTTGTTTCAAAAAAGGACCAGATTCCAAAGTTGTTACATTGTTGGGATAAAAGGCTTGCTTAGCGTGCTTTAAAATGCCTTGAAGTTGGAACTGTTTTTTAAAAAAACCTATAAATCTGTGTCCCTAAAGGCCAGGACCTAAATATTTAAGCACCTAAATAAGTGGCCTGATTTTCAAAGTTGGTGAGCACTACAGCTTCCCTTGACTTCAGTGGGATTTTTAAATGCTCAGCACCTCTGAAAATCAGGTTACCCTTATTTAAGTGCCTAAAACCAAAAAACTGTTAACTAAAAATTGTGGCGTTGGTACCTAATGTTATGCACCCAAACTTGAAAAATGTGACCAATAAGAATAAGTTTGAAGAACACTGATTTTCTTGTTGAGAACTGCTCAGTGTTCATTCACCATGGTTGCAATCGATGTCGCATCTGAATCTACAACTGATTAGTTTTTAATGGCGCGACAAGGTGGATCAGATAATATCTTTTATTGGACCAACGTCTGCTGGTGAGAGAGTCAAGTTTTTGAATCACATAGAGCTGCTCTTCAGGTCTGGGAACGGTACTCTGAGCGTCAAAAATTTAAATTCATTACTCAGCTAGACACTAAAAATCATGGACTGAACAGAGACACTGGATTTATGGCTTATTACAACAATCTGTAACCCACTAACCCCCCCTTTTTGTCCTATGACTGCAGAAGTGTTAATGGGTCACTCTACCTTAAATGGTCTCTTAGCATATGTGCTAACTATTTATGAAAAACAATCTGTTCCACCTTGCATTTTGCTGAGATGCTGGGAGTACCTTTCCCACCAGAGCTGAAGAAGAGCTCTGTGTGGCTCAATAGCTTGTCTCCCTCACCAACAGAAGTTGGTCCAATGAAAGACATTACCTTACCCACCTTGTGTGTCTAATATCCTGGGACCGACATGGCTACAACTACACTGCATACAACAGTGTTTAATAAGTATTTAGTAAATTGCTATGCTGGACAAGGCTAATCAGCTATTAACCAAGTAGTTAGTGACACGCTACTTCTTGCAACAGAAGCTCTATGACATAATCTTGAACAAATGAAATTAGATAGCCTAAAAGTGCACAACTTTTTTGTTTTTGAAGCAGTGAGCTTTAGATTGACTGTTCTGTGCCTTCTAGAGAGGACTCACTTTCTTCACAGGTTTTCAGCAAGCCACTTTATGTAGCTGTCCCTGGTCCGATGTCCTGAAGAGAAATTGGTAGGCCAAATAGTAAAGATCATGCAGCCATGAAAGCAGTCATCAAAGTGATCAAGTGTGACCTCCACACCTGTGCTCTCCAACCGTTTGGCATACATTATTCCATCATCTCTCAGGACATCATTTTCGCAAGTCAGGATGTAGGTCTTTGGCTGAAGCTGGAAAATTTCTTTTTCTGCAAGCAATGGAGCTGCGCGTATGTCAAGTAGTGCAGGTATTTCCTGGATGATTTCGGCCTTCCCTGTGGGTTGTATCACAGGTTTGTAATTCTTTTTGAACGTCGAAGGCAGGAGAGAAGTCCAGTTCAGACGTCCCCTGAAATAAACAGCCTGGCTTACGTCCAGGGAAGTGTGGTTGTTGATCAGCATTGAGGAGGCAAAGTCATAGTTACCATTGAAATAGTCTATCCAAAACTTCACCATGACGAAGCGAGGAAGAACAGGCATGTCAGTGTTCTGCTGGTATGAAGGAGTGTTAAAGTCCAATGCCTGAAGGACTGGATAGATTAAAGCCTGCAGCTTCAGTTTGTTGGTCACACTGTCATCTAGACTAAGCTGTAGGAAAAACACAGAACAGAATCCAGACTGTAAAAAAGCGGTCATTGCTTATGCTGTGTCTGATCCTACATCACTGGTTCCACAATTCATTCCCCCAAGAGGAGAGAAACCACCATTTGGTGTTTTATGGACAAATGCTCTGCTGGTGTAACTCAGCTGCAGAAAATTTTGCTCTTAGTCTGGAATATTAACAGTCTAGATCTGATTCTGTTCTCACCTGCACTGCTTTTACACCAGTGATTTCAATGGAGTCATAGCTGATTCACACCAGGGTAAGTGAGAATAAGGCCATGTCTACACTAGCCAGCTTACAGCGGCACAGTTTTACTGATGCAGCTCTATGCAGATGGGAGAGAGCTCTTCCGTTGACATAATAAAACCACCTCAATGAGCGGTGGTAGCTATGTTGGCAGGAGAAGCTCTCCCGCCGACATAGCGCTGTGCACACTACCACTTATGCCGGCAAAACTTATATCGCTCAGGGGTATGTGTTTTTCATGCCCCCGAGCAACATAAGTTTTGCCAGCATAAGTGGTAGTGTAGACATGGTGTAAGACATGCCATTTCCAAAAAAGGGATGCTCTCCTGGGTACTAGTCCTAAAGAACTGACTTGCTTTGGTAATTGCCCCTTACTGATTGATTAATGGTAATTACCCTTATTAAGGCTGCCTTAAAAATTCCAACCAGATCAAATTCAGACTAATTTAGATTAGAAATACATATGGTATGAACAGCAGGGAAAATAGATTTTCCCTACAATTGAATTCTAACTCTTCTGTTAAATTGTCTTCCTGTGAGGAAAAAATGCCATTTCATTAAAAAAAATTATTTCCCCTTCATTTGTATTAAAAGAAATAAGGTCATTTTCAAAGATGGGCAGTTGCAAAAATTGCTTATTCACAAAATAGGGAACTGAATTTATGAATTATGCATTTAGATGCCCACTTAGCCACTTATGCAGGCAAATAAAGGATTCACTAGCACAGTGGGTAAAGGTTGGTACCTAAATTGCACTTTTAAAATCTGGCCCATAACAACTTATAAAAGCAGTAAGACATTCTAGCGCTGCTTGATTCAGAAATAACTGACAGGTCTTAACTTATGTAAAATATCTACCAGCTGGCTTTCACAGTGAACCACTACCATTCTATCTCTAAAGCTAGTCTGTCACTTTGCGATGATGCAGCACAAATAATCTGTCTACACATGTGCACTGCTGGAATATGGATTGTTATTGTGATAGATACAGGCAGTGGATGTTACCTGCTGGCACACAGCAGCAGCCAAATTTCCTCCTGCGCTATCACCAGAAATTGCAATTCGACCTGGGTCAACTGAGTATTTAGCTAGGATGTCAGACCGCAGAAAATACTTCGTTGCACGTAAAGTATCGTGGAATTGCTCAGGAAAATGAACCTCTGGTACCAGCCTGTACCTACAAAAGAAGAAAGAGGCTTACATAGGATAATCATTATACACAGAAAATGTACTTTTCTAGCAGGATTATTATGTGCTATCAGGTGGATAGTAAAATGCAGAAATAACTTAGTTTAAATATTATGGTTGAAATATGAAACATTTAACACTTAAACAGTATTTAACTACCTACATGTTGTTATTACAACTCTAATTCTGAAAGAGTGATGCTAACCCACTGAATATGAATAAATTAGGAAATTGTTAAGTGGAACTTTTATGTTATCTCCCAATAGAGGATCTCAAAATGTGAGGATTCATTCATTAATGTTTTTATCACTACATCCGTAAAAAGCAGGTGGTAATATCTGCTTGGTGTGGAGGCGGAATACCCCTGCTTAGCCCACATGGGTAAGGGTAAGCCAGGTGTTCCCAATAGAATAAGGATACAAAATCAAAGTTATGGAGTTCCCTGTCCCTTGCATTTGTAATTATAGTTAGTGGAAACATTTAACTCAGCTACAGCATATGCAACATGAAATGAATGTGGGCCAGGAATAATAATAATACCTAGCTCATATCTAGTGTTTTTCATCAAAAGATCTCAAAGTGCTTTACAAAGGAAGTCTTTACAGTGGGGGAAACTGAGGCACGAGTGAAATGACTGTCCCAAGAGCATCCAGCAGGCCAATGGCTGAGCCGAGAATAGAATGCAGCTCTCCTGAATCCCAGTGCAATGTTGTATCAGCTAGCCCTCCTTGGTCTTCAAAAAACAGTGGGAGATGAATGATTCTTCAGTCATTACTTAAGCCCTTGGGGGTTTCAGGGTTTCTCTAGAGCTGTGTAAATACCATTGACCCAAATTGAAATTGGGGGAGGGGGTTTTTGATGAATCAGGATGAAAAGTTAAAAGTTTTTCAGTATCTTGAAAGCTTTCTCAGGACAGGAAAAAACTGTTCGCCATATACCTGAAATGTTCAGCTTAATTTATTAGAATAATAGAGATGCAGGGCTGGCAGGGGCGTTGAGATGTCATCAAGTCCATCCCTCTGCACTGAGACAGATTAAGTATACCATCCCTGACAGGTGTTTGTCCAACCTGTTCTTAAAAACCTCCAATGATGGGAATTCCACAACTTCCCTTGCCATCAGCGGCAATAGAAAAGCTACTCTTTTCTCCAGTGTTCACAGCAAGAGAAGAGTCTAGTTTCTTTTATTTTCCCTGTTAGGATTGTTGTGAGCAACTGGCCATTCCGAGCAGTCTTTTCTGATCAGTTTGCAGCCGAGGCAGAAGTCAGCATTTGTTGTCTCCCAACTTGTGAACCAAATCAGAATGGTGGTATTATGTGCAACTTGTGGTGGTACTGGTGCCAGTAGGTGGGGTTGTAATATAAATGTGTCTAACTGCACCGGTTGGAAATGTAATGTTTCCAGACATTTTAGACCCGCAGAAAAAAACTGTCAACTCCTCCACTCAGGAAGCTAACAGGATAGCCTTGGACATTGTTTCCTAAAGTTGTGGCTTTTACAGAAAACACCCTCAGAAAGTTACTCTTAATCAGTCAGCCTTTTGTTCTCTCTCCCCAAAGTGATCTATTGTATTTAGCAACAGAGGGTCCTGTGGCACCTTTAAGACTAACAGAAGTATTGTATTTAAAAATCTCACAGGCCCTGCAAACTTGGTTTTGTTCCTGGAGTAGTCTTCGGCTGATACTGCAAGCAGGATGCTGCTTGGAAGCTACACCATCCTCAACACTGGGGTACCAGGAGTCTGGCTGATGGGTAGACGTGGGGTTGTGATGACCCTTTCTCTGTTGTGGGATTAATTTGAGGCTTGCAAATCAGGCTGAGTCTTTTGACCATGCTTTTTCCATGGAAAGTCCCCCTACTGTCAGATGGGCAGCTGATTAAAAAACACCTTCAAAACTTGCTCCCTTCTTTATCATGCCAGCTGGCAACAGCAACACGTGCCCTTGTGTCTAATAATAACAATAATAACTAGCTCTTATATAGTGCTTTTCATCAGTGGATCTCAAAGTGCTTTACAAAGATCAGTACCATTATCCCCATCTTACAGATAGGGAAACTGAGGCACAAATAGGTGAGATAACTTACCTATGGTCACCCAGCAGACTAGTGGCACAGCCAGACATAGAATCCAGGTCTCCTGAGTTCCAGTCTGCTGCTCTATCCACTAGGCCACACTACCTCAGTAGGCTGTTTTTGCAGTTCTTATTCTCTTAAACCTTGTATAGTTTAGTATGTAAAGGTGTGTTGTTAGAATGTTAGCTAACATGTGCTAACCAAAATGAAGGCCTCAACTCTACCAGCTTAGCATACGTTAGAGGCAGTGTGTCTTGTCTACACTAGCTAACACCCTTTTAAATTCTAGTCTAGACACGGCCTTAACTTTCAGCCTGCTTAGGATGCAACTGTTGTACCTGCTCACAGATTTGATCTCACTAATGTTGCCTTGTGAGGTTTATTGAATATAATGTGGTGGATTGACTAACACTCTTAAATGCGATCTCCTGTATCCAGTATAAGAATTGATTCATCGTGAAGCACACGCCTTTGCATAAAACCAACATGTGCCATACTAGAGCATACTCCTATATTCTACTGACTGACTGTTTTGCATCCAACAGAAATTATATGCGCAAAATAAATTTCAGGCATAATATTGAGATTAATAAGAAGTTTTTCAAATTCTTAAAACTATTTAGGCTTTAGAAAGCAATCTGTGTATTACATCAGATAAAGTAAGATATGATAGGCCTTTGGGAATCCCCTGTGCAACTGGGTAACAGATTGGGTATGCAACATTCAAGTGAGAAAATGTGCAATTAAACTAATGAGAAATCAAATTAGACTGCACTGAGTACAAAAGGCTTGATTGACAGAGATAATGGTTGGGTAGAGAAGACAAACAGCTTGCCAAAACAGGCAGAATTACAGCATCATAAACAAGAAAAGGAATAATAAGGGACATTTCAATATTGTGATAGCCACTTGTCTGCAATGGCTAACATCTTGCTCATTTATTTTTGTGTTTATTAGAGGAGACAATTAAAAGGAGCTGGAAACAACTACACTTAAATTATATTGGAATGAATATTATACCAGTAAAATCAATTCTGCATAATGAGGCTGTAATTTGATCACGAAAATTGGGAAATAATCTCATTAATTCAGTCACTGGCCCCCCTCTTCTGTCAACTTTAATATTTTCATTTACAAAAGAAAAGTGCTTAATGCAACCACTCAAATTTCCCTCTTCTGGTTTATTACAGTGGCCCATTAATGTACTTAGCAACTTAGAGGGTTGTTAAACTAACTGAGGAGACTCCATAAAGTAAAGAGAAGGCCTGAATTCGCCACTGCCTCGTGCAAAGTGTGGGGCAGTTATCAGGTGAGGCACACATACTGGCACAGTAATCTCTACACTTGTGTTTAATACCATCACCCTCAGTGAAGGCTCTGCCATCATGATATTTTATTGATCACAGAAAAAACTGTTGGTAAGAAACCTGACCACCGTGAGCATACCTTTTGTGCTATTACTCTTTATAATTCTCAAGTTACATACATTTTACCCTTAGATATTTACCCTTGACTGATCTAGTCTGCCTTTCAATCTGTCTGCTCAGTTCCTTATATTCTCTCCTACATTCTTCTATCCCAAGCTATTCTCTTTCACTCTGCATCATTTTTCCACTAGCTCAAGCACCTACCCCATGGAGCAGTCCGACAGTGACATTTCAGAATGTGTGCTTTGGTGGTTTTGAGCGTAACAGTTTTCATTTTACCTCCGTTTGTTGGGATTGTTCTATTGTTCTCCTTCACCTGTGCCAATGACTCAAACCCATTCTGGACTGAAGTTATATAATGGTCGTTGATTTCGGATAAGTCCAAATGTTGACTGTCTTATGTTTAAGTTTTAATTTTGTTTCAGGCTAACAGCTGATGGTCTGACCCAGTCTGCACTCAGGAAAGTCTGTGTTCATTGTGTACTTGATCTCCAGTATAGCTGTATCATTACATAGTTGATTTGGTTCTTTGTGATACCGTCAGGTAACCTCCATGTGTGGACAGAAAAAGACTAATGCCTATGTTAGAAATATTATTTGAGAGCAGCAGATTCCGATGTCAGAAATCAACACATGCAAACTTATGTACTTTGCTCACATTAGGCGTAGAGATGGCAATAACCTTGAGAAAGTTATTATGGAAGGAATGGTGGAAGGTCATTGTAGCAGGGGATGACAAGTGAGGAAATGGATGGTGTGCAGCAGATCACTGTAAGGTCAGCATGAAGTTAGCGATGGCTTGTGAAGACTTCCAAAAATTCTGTTCTGATGTCACCAGTATTCAGACATGAATAAATGGATGTACTTACTTTAAGTGTTCGGGTGAGGTTAGCTCAATGTATCAAGTGTCTGTTTGTGGAGGAGAGGGCACAAACTGCATGTTTTAGTTAAGCAACAGTGGTAAAAATCAGCTGCCACTTGAAGTTCTATACCATACTTTAATACAACTTAAATGCTGGTTTCTAAAAGGACCAGAATTATCCTTAGTTCAAATCTGCCTCACAAATCTCAACCTCCTGCTGGGAAGCACAATCACAGTGACCAGTGAGAGAGACAACAGTCCCACCCACTGACTGGAGAGATTGAGGGATAGGTATTTCTCTCTTCCTTCAAAAGATGAGGGGGTTTGTGTGTGTATATAGAAAGTGTGTCTGTGTTTGTATTGTGATCTCAATCCTGCAAGCACTGATGCACATGAGTTACCGACTCATCTGAGTAAACCCACAGTTTTTAATAGGACTACTCGTATGAATATGTTAGCAAGATTGTGGCTTTTTAGTTCCAGTTAAAGTGGCTTCCCCTCGCTCCCGTTTTACTATGTACTTTTAAATGTCCAGTACAATTAAGGGTGCCATTATCTCTTATAATTAGAAAAGTATTCAAATACCATTCTAATCCACTGTCATTGAGAAGGACACAAAATATCAAGTCCTGCTAAAGAGACCTTTTTCAAATGAAAACCTTTTAAACAAGTCACGACAAAGAAAAAAGCAATTAACTAATTCATAATGATCTATATTTCTACATACTTTAAGATTTTGTTGATTACTCACTCAATTGAGACAATTACAGCATTCAGAGATTCTGCCATGATCCTGCAGAGATTGTTATAGAAGCTTGTTCCTGGGAATAAGAGGACCAAATGTTAGTGAAAGACAGTAAATTTTGTTAATATGCATATTGCACACAGCTCTACATATCTTTAGATTCATAAGAAAAACAGCAAGCACTTATATTCAATCCTGTAAAAAACAAACAACCCCCTGACATTATAATAGACACTCATTATTATCAGTAAATCTTTATGCAAATGTAAATAAATGGAATGGAATGCAGTCAGTGTATAACAGCAGGTACCATGATCTAGTGGAATGAACACAGTTTGTGTCTTAGCAGTTTGTGCACTTTCTTCCTGGCTTTGCCATCAACTTATTGTGTGACTTTGGGCAAGTCACGTCACCTCTCTGCCTCAGTTTCACTTACCGCTACCTAACCGCATTGGGCTGTTCTGGGGATTAGTGTCTGAAAAATGCTATTTTTGTGCTAGTCGTTGTACATGTGTTCATTATATTATGCATGCTGGCCTCTAAACTTGCAGTTTCTACTCAAGTTAGTAGTCCTATTAAAGTCAATGGGACTGCTCACCTGAGTCAAGGCAGTAGGTTCAAAGCCGTCTTATTTCTCAGGGTACTCATTTTCTCTAATTCTATGCCTCTTCAGTTACTGAATAGGTATTTCATGGTGGTGGAGAATATAACAATGTATTAAGCATCTCTTTAAAGTACACAGTCTTGAGATTTAATATTTAGCAATAATATTTCTGCCACTAACGTTTACATCTTAAACTGCAATAACGTGTTTAGAGTTACAGTGATCTGAGTGAAGCACAGTAATTCTGAAGCAGACGTTCTGCCCCATGGGAGTGCTATGCAAGTTACTACAGAACAAGTGCAGCTGACCACGTTCTATAAAGCATCACTAACAGCTGCCTATGACAGGTCTTCCTGAAGGGTCTTGTGACCAGCCCTGCACTGGGCCACCGGGGGCGGATCAATCATTGTGACTCAGGAGGCCACGTCCCCTCTTCCCTGCCGTTCATGCTCCAAGTGGAGAAACTCAGATAAAAGGAGGCAGGCCAGTCGTGGGGGGTGGGGCTGGCTCCTGTAGAAGTACCTGCAGTGCCCCTGGCGGTAAAGCCCAGGGACCGGGAGGGACTACCTGCCAGATGACTCGCCGGCTGCAGAGACCACCGTGGAAGCCAAGCTGCCTAAACTACGCCCCCGCCCAGAGAGACGTGAGACCTATAGCCTGATTGTTTGCTTTGCCCCACCCCGGGGCTGCAGCCTGTTTGCTGCTTCGCCCGGCCCATGGGGCTAATTCCCTAGTCTGTTTGATTGTTTACTGCCCCAGCCACAAAGCTGCCGGGCTATAGACTAATTGTTTACTTTGCCCCATGCAGGGGCTGCAGCTTGCTTGCTGCTCCGCCCTGACCAGGGAGCTAATTCCACAGACTGTTTGATTGTTTTGCTGCTCAGAATCCACAGATCACCCACGTAACGGGGAAGCCCACGACCGAGTGGCGGAGTGGACTACCCCCATACTGGACTGATGGTGGCACCCCAGCTTGACCAGCAAGGCCGCGCCATCCCACGGCTAATTGGGAGAATTTTGTGAGAACAGAAAGGCAGAGGAATTTTTAATGGGTACAGTTACTAATTATGGGCCAAATATGCTGGCATTTCCAAAAGTGCCTAAGTGACTTAGGCACACACTTCCAACTGAAAGTCAAAGGCACCTCTGACAATCCCACCCATAATGGCTCTTCACACTAAAACTGTCATAGGGCTAAGCAGTAATTAAATCTGCACCTTTCAACATACAGTATGCTTTATTATCCTCTTGGAGTGTCCGTGGCAGCACAGAAGATGAAGAGGGCATGGCCTTCAATCTTCACCCCAACCATGCAGATCTTTAGGACACCCACAGGGAGTGTTTGCGCTCAGAGCTCCACAGTGAAGATTCTACTCCCTGACAATAGCATGGCTGGATTAGTGGCCAGGCTATCATTCTCTACAGCTGCGCACTACCTTCCACATTCATAGCATGTTAACTTAACATGGCTTTAGGCAACTTTGACGTCCACGGCAGTTTTCTGCTAAAAAAAACGCACTGGTTTTCTAAAGGACCAGGCCATGCAAAGTGCTTGGTCTCCACCTCCCTCTAGCTGCCTCTATCCCCTGCAGTTGCACATCACTCCAAATACGTGTAATTTAGAGCTAGTCAAAAAAAATGGGAACATTTCCATGAAAAGCTTCAACATTTTCAACTAGCTATAAGGTGATTCATGCAGAAGGATAACCTGCTGTCTTGGGCTTAGGCAAAATATATCATGTAGCCATCAGTCCGTAATCATCTGGTCAGTGTTTACTTTCCTCCATGGCATGCAACACAGAGACCATGGTGACCTACACCAGTGGTTTTCAAACTGCAGGTCATGACCCAGTACTGGGTCGGGGGATGTAAGGCACTGGGTCGCGGCAGCTGTGGTCAGCACCGCCGACCAGGCCGTTTAAAGTCCTGTCGGCTGTGCTACCCGGCTAAGGCAGGCTAGTCCCTACCTGTTCTGACACCGCGCTGTGCCCCAGAAGCAGCCAGCAGCAGGTCTGGTTCCTAGGCGGGGGGGGCCACAGGACTCCGCGTACTGCCCCCACCCCGAGCACTGGTTCCTGGCCAATGGGAGCTGGGGGGAGGGGGGGGCGGGGAAGAGGTGCCTGCGGGCAAGAGCCACGCAGAGCCACTTGCGCGCCTCTACCTAGGAGCCGGACCTGCTGCTGGCCGCTTCCGGGGCGCAGCGCAGTCCCAGGACAGGCAGGAAGCCTGCCTTAGCACCCCTGCTGTGCTTCTGACCTGGAGCCGCCCAAGGTAAGTCCGCGTCCCAACCCCATGCCCCAATCCCCTGCCCTGAGCCCCCCGCAAATCCAGAGTCTCTTCCTTCACCCCAACCCCTCATCCCCAGACCCTGCACTCCCAGCCAAGAGTTCTGACGCCCTCCCGCACCCTGAACCTCTCATTCCCGGCCCCATCCTGCACCCCAACCCTCTGCCCCAGCCCTGAACCTCTCCCACACCCCAAACCCCTCATCCCCAGCTCTGTTGGGTTGCGGGCATCAACAATTTTCTTCAACTGGGTCGCCAGAAAGAAAGTTTGAAAACCACTGACCTACATCAACTTGGTCATGAAGGAGTCCCCATAAATAACTCTCTTCTCTTTTCAGTATGTGTTTAAAATAAGCTGCTGATTCTTTTGCAGCCATGTGCTGATAAAACATGCGCTTGTTTTCTGTTTCAGGATTACTTCCCCCTCCCCCCCTTATGGCGAGAGTTGGAACAGTTACTATAGCCCCAGGATTCCAGCTCTCATTAGGTTCAGACATGTCTCAGAGAGCAAAACTCTCAGCTTCTGGGTGGGAGAAGAGCTTTTAGTTACACTGAACCTGCTGTGATGAGAACATATCATAATCCACTCTAATTAATGACAGACACATACTTGCACTTGCCAAAGCCCATCCTCCTCCATGGATGTAAACGACACTGCGCTTTAGTGTTTCGTCTTGCTTTGGAGACGGTTCAAACACTCTGACTTCCACTCCATCAAAAAGGGCATCTGTTATCTTAATGTGTTCAGAGGACGAGGGCTCCAGCTTGTCAAAAGTACCAATCACATAATTCAGAACTCTCAAGTGATGGCTGAGTCTTAGACAGTGAACCAGGTTGCACTAGGGAGAAATTGAGGAGTGAGGGGAAAAAATAATTTGTTACTCACAGGCTTATCCTACTATGTTGCATGAAATATCCTTGCAATTTTCTTCAAAAGACAGTATCTGTAACTAGACAGGCAACAGCACTTAACACCCATGAGGGAATGATATCAAAGCCTTCCAAAGTTATATTGTGACAAAACTGTGCACCCCTAGAAATTCTCAGGGCATGTCCACACTACAGAAAGAGACCCATGGAAGTGAATCTCAAAAGCTGGGTCAACTGAATTGTGCTCCTGGGGCTTGCACTGCGGGGCTAGAGAGCAGTGTAAGTTGTTTGGGCTTGGGCTGAAGGCTGAGCCCTGAAACTCAGCGAAGGAGGTGGGTCTCAGAGGCTAGGCTCCCACCCAAACATCTATGCTGCGTGACCCCAAGTCAGTTGACCTGGGATCTGAGACTTGCTGTCCCAGGTCTTTCTGGCAGTGTACACATACCCTTAGTTGTCTTAATATATATTTTGAAAAAACAAAGCACTGTGAGCACTTGGAAGATCAAGATGGCAGTGGGTTAGAACTGAGACACACCTATTTGAAAAGCACAGTTAGATTGAAACAGAATCCTCAGGAGTGGGTAGCACCATAGCAGTGGTTCTCAACCTTTCCAGAGTATTGTACCCCTTTCAGGAGTCTGATTTGTCTTGCATACCCCCAAGTTTCACCTCACTTAAAAACTACTTGCTTACAAAATCAGACATAAAAATACAAAAGTGTCACAGCACACTATTACTGAACAATTGCCGACTTTCTCATTTTTTACCATATAATTATAAAATAAATTAATTGGAATATAAATATTGTACTTACATTTCAGTGTATAGTATATAGAGCCGTATAAACAAGTCATTGTCTGTATGAAATTTTAGTTTGTACTGACTTCGCTAGGTCTTTTTATTTAGCCTGTTGTAAAATTAGCCAAATATCTAGATGAGTTGATGGACCACCTGAAAGCCCTCTGCATACCCCCAGGGGTATGTATACCCCTGATTGAGAACCACTGCACCATAGGACTCTTAGAACTGTGTCTCAATTTCTTCCAGTAGAGGGCAGTAATGCACATATACAGTAGTTATTTTGTTATATTATTACAGTTAATTTCTGCATTTCTCATAGTGTATTGGGAAAGTTTAGGTGTTAATAAAATCCCATAACCACAAACTTTTCTACACTTCCAGTGAAAATATGAATCCTAAAGATCCAGATTTTCTTCTACTGACTTTACTAGTCTGAATTGCATCACCTAGTAAAGCCTAGACTGCCCCCTCTTGGGACCCCCCCGCCCCTAACTGCCCCCTGGAACCCACCTCCTATCCAACCCCCCTGTTCCCCATCCCCTGACCGCCCTCTGCCCCATCCAACCGCTCCCTTTACTAGTCTGAATTGCATCACCTAGTAAAGCCTGCCTTCCTTTCTACAAGCTGAAAGAGTGTGAGTAGCTCACTCAATTGGGGCCTGTGCCTCAGTTTACTCTTCCCTAAACTGACCGCAATACCTGCCTGTAGGGATAGTGATTGTGATGCTTGATTCATGTTTAAAAAGCTGTGAAATCCCTGGAGAAAAGGTGCCATAAGTGTATTCTTCTTCTCCTGTATAAATGATTCATCCTGAAGTACAAATCTTTTCACTTTCAGTACGTTTCTTCAAGGAAAAATCTCAATTACTGAAAACAAGACTGAGAGCAGGGAGTTTGTGACTGAGAGGCAGGAATTGATCTCAAGGGAACATGGTGGTGCTTGCTAATCAACCCATCTGTGTTTTCTGACCGAATGTTTAGCCTCCTAGGATGAGATCAGAGCACTAGAAGCAGAGTGGGCTGGGAATTTATTTCCACCCACAGAGCCCTTTGTTGTGATTCAACAAGAAAACTAGCACTGGCCTAACTTTTTACCTATATATGGGCTTCAGGGACGTCTATGCTGCAGTTGGGAGGGTGCTCCCAAGTGCGGGTAGACGGCCATACACTAGCTCCGCTTGAGCTAGCGAGCTAAAAATAGCAGTGTGGCTGTGGCAGCACAGGCAGAAGCTCTGGCAAACCCACCCAACTGACTGGGGACATAGTCAGGTGCCTCGCCTGAGCTCCTGTCCATGGCCACACTGCTACTTTTAGTGCACTAGCTTGACTAGAGCTAGAGCATGTCTGTTTACCTGGACTGGGAAGCACGTTCCCAGCTGCAGCGCAGACATACCCTCAGGATGCAATTCTGGTATTTGACCTCTTGTACTTTGTTTATGCATCTTGCCCAGAGAGTATAAAGGACCTACTACTACCAGCTAAGGGAGATCCCCTTCAGCCAAAAAGGTAGAGAACTGTTTCCCAGTGTACGTATGATTTATATAATAATTGTGCTTGCAGAGTATAATATTTTTTCCATGCATGCTGTGAAACAGGGTTGGGCAAACTTTTTGGCCCCAGGACCATTGCGGTTGCAAAACTGTATGGAGGGCCGGGTAGGGAAGGCTGTGCCTCCCCAAACAACCTGGTCCCCATACCCTATCCGCCCCCTCCCACTTCCCGCCCCCGACTGCCCCCCTCAAAACCTCCGACCCATCCAACCCTCCCTGCTCCTTGTCCCCTGACTGCCCCCTCTTGGGACCCCCCCGCCCCTAACTGCCCCCTGGAACCCACCTCCTATCCAACCCCCCTGTTCCCCATCCCCTGACCGCCCTCTGCCCCATCCAACCGCTCCCTGTCCCCTGACTGCCCCCAGGGACCCCCGCCCCTTATCCAACCCCCTGGCCCACTTATCATGCTGCTGAGAGCAGCATGTCTAGCTGCCACACTGCCCGGCCAGAGCTAGACATGCTGCCGCTCTGCTCGGCAGGAGCACACAGTTCCACCGCCCAGAGCACTGCCGTGCGGTGGCATACCTGCGGGGGGGACGGGATGTGCGGGGGAGGGGCCGGGGGCTAGCCTCCCGGCCGGGAGCTCAGAAGCTGAGCAGGACGGTCCTGCGGGCTGGATGTGGCCCGCGGGCCATAGTTTGCCCACCTCTGATGTGGAAGATCCAAGAGGGGATGGGGAAGGGATATATCAGGCCAAACCACCCAGTGCACTATGATAATGAGGCTACTAGTGGGCATTTAAAAAAAAAAAAGATGGGTTGGAGGTGAGGTCTTTTCACTATTTTGGAAGGCTGACCACCTGTCCTGGCTGAGGCATATTATAAACCAGGGAGGAGTCTGCGCCCTTTTATAATTATTCCCAGCAAGTCAGAGTGTGGAGCTGGGAGGTAAGGGGAATGGTTACCAAAATCCATGGGAGCCTGATACCCAGTAACATTAGAGAAAGTGTCAGAAGTGATATTTTACTTGTGACTAGATCATGGATAAAATTTTCAAAAACACCTAAGTGACTCACAAGTCTAAGGGCTTGTCTGCTCACAAAAGTTTTACCTCTAACTATACTGGTGCAGTTGCAGCAGTAAACACATACCTTCAGTGTGGATGCCATTATACTGGTATAAAGGTCTTTTATATGGTATAGCTAATCCTGTATGGGAAGGGGGTTTAGTTATGCTGGTATAAGGCATCTTTATACCAGTAAGACTGCATCCACACTAGGGGTTGTACTGGTATAACTTCAAAAAAATCACTAAAATAATCACTCCTCCTTGCCCCCAATCAAAATAGTTATACCAGAATAAAAACTGGGAGGAGACCATGTCTCATTGGAGGGGGAAAAAAATCAAAGGTCATTTAGGCTCCAAAGTGCCATCTGGAAATGGGTTTTAATACTACTAAGTGTTAATCTTTTGCTGCTTTCCCAATTCATTTTAAGGATGTGTATTTCACTGATGGTTAATAAAAAACAGTCATTTTTATTTACTACATCTCTGCACTGTTATTTTCCCTGGTCACTTTCCAGTGGTAAGCCTGGGAGCCTGTTACTGCAAGCTACAGTGTCAAAGCTTTCGGAGGATGGATAGTTTAACAGAAGCACACTATTCCCATAAACACAGAGAGGTAAAGCCCATCTTTTTGTTCTGTATATGTACAGCACCTAGCACAATGGGGGCCTCGTCCATGACCAGGACTCTTTGGCGCTATGGTAATATAAATAATATTTCAGAGGAACTCCATTGAAAGAAGGATTTGTTGCATGACTGCAGATTCCTTGTCGTGGAGGTTTTATTTCTTTGGGGCCATAAATCTAATCTCCCACCTATGGTACTTTACAAAATGAAGATCAATATTCAGTACAAATACGAGGCATTAACATTAAACCATCTGGTGTATAAAAAGCCCCTAAGCCACCTTCACTACATGTGCCTTTGGAAAGAGGCAGGCTTTGAAGTATGCCTAATTTTATAAATCTCAGCTTCAATGGACTAAGGGGGGCAATCCACTTCCAAAGCTGAGAGGCACTGACAAAGGATGCCCTCCCAGCAGCCTGTTTAAACTGCGGCAGTATCACGCTGTGAAAGAGGTGGCTTCTCAGGAAGCCAGGTTCCAGAATGTTTATGGTTTTATTGACTGAACACCAGCTCTCTGTGTTTAAGAAAGCCCTCCCATTAAAAAGAATACAAAAAGTATCAACCCAAACCCTGGAAATGCTGAATGCACAAGACAATTTGTATCTTTGAATTTCAGATCATGCTGTTCTCCATCTGTTCCTCCCATAGGAAAATCCAATTCAAGGTTGAATGCCGGAGGGTTTCTCTCACACATGTTGTATTAGGGGAAAAGTAAGTCCATGTGGATCAAAGAACTACCCCAAGCTTCCTTTGAGGTTCAAAGAAGTTCAATAAAGTTATGTAATGCTTTGACATCTAGCTGCATTGACTTCAGTGGAGTTGTGCTGATTTACACCAGCTGTGATCTGGCCCTTTGTGGGTCTTGTGGTGGTTCTGAGAGGTTATTCTTTAGCCAAGGAAATTTTGTGAAACAGTTTTTCTGCCTGATCTGCTAGTGCAACAGCCAGCACTTTCAGGAGGAGCGGACAGGTCTTGCCCATTTTAGCTC